TACAAAAAAGGTATCTTATATTTTTTCCGTAAACCTCACCATTTGAATGATATTGAAGATTTAAATTTGATGATTTTTAGACAAATTTCATTTTTGTTTAAGAATTTTATAACTCAACAATAAATGACTATTAAAAAGTGCACAATACAAATTTTTGTAGGAAATTTAACGCTTTACAAATAAGGTTCTTTATAAAAGAATTTATATAATTTTTTATTTATTTATTTACACGCGATTGTTTTTGGTTTCCTATTGAAAATACTAAATCTTATATAACTAACTATTCGATATATATATATATATATATATATATATATATATATATATATATATATATATATATTCTATGCCATTGAATTAATAAAGAAAATCAGCTTATATAGATTTGCATACTGTTTACTTAGAATATCGTATTATGGTTTTTTAATATGTATTTATTGCACATTAGTTTTTCTTATCAATTCTTATCTAACATTAAATAAAAACCAATCCTGATAATCTTTACGTCATTGAATTTACACGAGGATCAATTTTCAAAAATAACATTCGTTAAATTTTTGTTATAAATTATGCTATGTAATAAATGTTGGTAAAGTAAAAAGAAATATGTTGAATGAATAAAATCTATTGTTAAAATAATATCCAATTAAAAATTTTAATTCTATATAAGAACGAATTAATTAACAACATTGTTTTAACGAAACTATGCAAATATCAACACTGATAATTGCATGCGCTTTAGTAACACGTTATGCGATCTTGAATATCTAACAATTAAAATAATACGTTGTTTAGACTGTTCTTATCATCCTATTAGTTGGTATTAATTTCTTTTCATGGTTATATTTGCGCATAAATTCATAGAAATACACGGTATATAATGCACATGCATATTCATACATGAATGTAAACGTATATTCATAACAATATGTGTTCATAAACAATATGAATAATAAAAACACGTTAAGAACGAGCTTATAAATTCATTTATTTGTATAACACGTGTGTGTATTGTGTGTGCATATATACGCGTTTTGTTAAGCGACGAACATACATACACACATCTATACACATAAACTCACACAATAGTTTTGTACGTTAGCTATGTACGTTGTTTATAAGCACATTGAAAATATTTCTAAACTCACCGTTTAACAAAACGCCAATAATTGCACCGGTAGACGATGATATTGCCATAAGACTTAAATTATTTTCAAGGGATGAATCTTTGCAATAATCTTCCAATTCGTGACATGTTGTGTCTTCACCTTCCGGTATTAATGCGATTGATTGATTTAGAGGTTCGTCACGGAAGAAAAACCTCCTGAGGAATTTCAATACCCTGTGCTCGTCTTCTCTCGTTATTATTTTAATGTAATAATCCATGGCGGTGTTCATCACTGAATCGGCGGAATCCGCCAACTGAAAATGAATGATATTATTCAATGATCGTTTTTGTATTAATGCTTTCTCAAACGTAAGATAAAAATCATCTCTGTTACTCTGATACGATTGATAATTTTTTTTTCTTCTTCTTTACTTTTTTTTTCATTATCATATGTGTTACAAAAATTATTTAATAAACTAAACAAATAATAATAAATTTTTTATTGATTTGACAATTATTTTTAAACGTAGGTCCTATACATTCTTTTTTTAACAACATAAATTGATGATATTCATATTTTGAAATTAAAAAAGAAACAAATATATTGTAATTCCATTCATTATTATTATAATTAGAATTATTTTAATTCTATAAATCTATCTATAAATAGAATTATTGTAATTCTATTAATAAATCAATGGTGATATTTATATATAATACTATTAACCCTACAATGTGCTGACATATATAGACAATAGTATTTGCATATAAGATGATAAAAAAAAAATAGTTAAATTAAGCTTCATTATTTATGAGCAATCGATATAGTAAAAAAACGAGTCTTTTAATAACACATTTAAAATCTATACATAGAAATTTGCATAGAAATATATTCATTCATGATTGTCAAGATAAGTTTATAAAGATTATTTCATAGACTCGAGTATTAATATATACAAATAAATAGATATTCGATATATTTTTCTGCCATTTGAATTCCGACATACCGATATCTCTATCGTATTAACACTTTCAAATATTTCTTAAACTAGTGTACTTCCAAAGTATAAATACCTTTATATATTGTACATTCAATATCTTACCAAGAAATTAATTTACGATATCTAATCGATCATAAATAATTATACTTGATTTACGTCGAAATAATTCATTTTAAAAAGACCTAAGTTTATTCAAACATTTTTTTAACTCGTCTTCTTGACTAGTATTATAAATCCTATTTATTTATTTTTTTTATTGCCTTTTATATTATAACAGTTAACAAAATGCATATGCAATATGCATACATTTTCCAAACCTATAAATATACTAAACACGCGTGTATTACACATATATGCACATATGTAATATCGAATTTGATTCAATAAGTAATTTCATAATGTATTTAATTTATTATTTATCTCATTGTTAAACATATCAAAGTAAATATTTTTTCTTAAGGGGTTATATACAGTTAGAATTTTCAAAAAATCGATTTTTTTTTATTTTATTTTCTTAATGTACATATATTTAAGAATACACACAGAAAATTTCATATCGTTCCGGTGAATATTTTCAAAGTTACAAGCTAATTTGAAAAGGCGTTTCAGAGTGCTTGAAGTACAAGGTACAAACTTTAAACGCGTTTTTCTCAAAATGRTGTHATCAAAGTCGGTGACCAACATTACTCGAAAACGGCTAAACCGATTAGTCTCAAATTTTAACACGACCTTCTTAAATATATTTTTTAGTAATTAATCAAAG